TCAATTACTATATAGATAGATAGATAGATAGATAATATGCTGTCGAGTTAAATTTTAGAGATAAAAAACAACAAAAATAATAATACTGATAATAAGACTAATATTGTATATTAGTAGGCCTTTTGACCAAATGGAAACATGAGATTAAAAATCTGAATTTTCAGACACCTGTGTCTTTTCATAATGAGATGAGAAATCCAAAAAGGCTTCTTTTTTTTTTTTAAGGGACCCTGTGTCATATTACTGAAGAGATCTGATAGTTTTGGGTTAGTTGTTTGCCATGATTAGAGTTGTAGAAGGAAATTGTATTCTTTGAGCATTCCAATTTAAACCTCGAAAGTGAATTTATTTTAAAATGTATTTTAACTCAGTCACATTTCTAACAACTTTCTTATGTTTCCATTTGGTGAAAAGGTCTACTAATAATGCAATAAATTTTATTAGTTTTATTATCATTATTTTTATTGCTTGAAATTCTTTCATTGGCCTATTATATCTACTTATTATAAGAAGCATATGTGAATCTTTTTTTGTTATTTATACATATACACACACACACACACACATATATATATATTTATTTGAAAATTATAACATAAATATGTTATAAAATCACTACAAAAATAGCCATTTTGTTTCAACACTTCTGGTGTCTTATCAAGTGATGAAGTTGAATGTAGAATAAAGGGATTTAAAAGGTTCAAACCAATCAAACAACCCTCGCTAAGGGGAAACACTGTTACATCAGTTGGAATGGCCAATCAAAATACAAGTATATGAGAATTAAAAAAACTTGACAGTGGACTTAGTTTATAATAATTATTTAATGCTTTAATGTTAGGATTAGACTAAAATAGAATTCATTCTAACTAATAAATATTAAATTATACTATAAAATTAAAAATTCAAAATCACCAGTGTTTCCCCTAGCGAGGAGTGTTTGATTGATTTGAACCTTTTAAATCCCTTTATTCTACATTCAATGCCATCACTTGATAAGACACCAGAGGTGTTGAAACAAAATGGCTATTTTTGTAGTGATTTTATAACATATTTACGTTATAATTTTTGAATAAATAATTATATTGACTCTACTCTGTATTGAGCACTATTTTAAGATTAGTATTTGTTGGTTATTGGAATTTATTCTGAAATTCACCAATCCTATTTTTGAATATATATATATATATATATATATATATATATATATATATGTGTGTGTGTCTAAGTGGTTAGAATATTCGCTTTCTGACCATGAGACTCAGGTTAGAATCTCACCATGGTCAATTTGTCAGGATGGAGACTTCTTGATGTTATTGGTCTGTAGGGGGGGACAATCCCAGCATACAGCACCTTTGGAAGGTGCCTGAAAACCATACCACAGGTTGACCCAAGCCTTGTAAGTGAAACTGGGTAGACAGAACACTTGGGGTCGTTGATAGCTGTGCTGGCATGAAGTCACAAGTCATCGTGACTGAGGGTTTGAGTGTGCTGGTGTTGTTCAGATTGTTGATCATTCTAGATAACAAGCTCTCTCTCTCTCCCAGAAACTGTAACTAAGGTCTGCTCAGCATAATTGCAGTATAAATGATAGGTTGGCTCTGTAAGTGTTGAACAAACAGAAATGTGCCCGAGTGTGAGTCTGCAATAGGGATTGGCTAGCAGCCTTAGTAGACGGGTATCCTTGATTACAAGTGGTCAGCTATTATACATGTTCAGGAATGTTCAGGCCAGTAAATGTAATTAGTAAAGTTTAATTAAAAACATAGCATTTATGTAAATAAATTGTATCTATAAAATAACATATAAAAAAAGAAAATATATATATATATATATATATATATATATATATATATATATATATATATATATGTGTGCATGTATGAATAAAGACTAAAAGGAAAACTTATTGTAGCCAACGCTTTTTAGCGGATGAACTGTGTCAGCTAAGTTTTCCTTTGGTCTTTATTCATATTGTCCTTTACAGATATGCTTTGTAAAATATATATATATATATATATATATATATATATATAGTCTTAAGGTCTGCTATATTTATGTGATAAAGTGCTCAATATCAGAAATAGAGCATATGTAAATATAAAAGTGAACACTGAAGTCAACACTTAGAGATGACAGGCTGTTTCATGCTAGACACAATTGTCAGGCCTGACGATTGTGTCTAGCATGAAACAGCCTGTCATCTCTATATATATGTTTGTGCAAGCACACACATGAAATATACATAATATTTATGCACACTATTTTATTGAAATTATATGTACTATATATGAGTGTGTGTGTGTGTGTGTGCATGAAATAATAAAACCTGTAAAAAAATGGTAGGGCAGTTTACAAATGGATTGGCACTTATATCTAGGATGAGAGTGTAGTATCTGTGCTGACACACAAACCCAAAATACGTATATGAAGCATGTGAAATATTTCCAGCGCTCTTTTCTTTCTTTTTAAATTAGTAAGTGAATACACAGTGGGGAAA